AGTAACTAGAACAACACCCTAATTAGTCGTGACAGCACTGCCCCATGGTGAGGATGTTATAGATTTAATGAGGATTTGGTCATAGGTTATAGGGTTTCTAGCACCCGAATCAATGATCCAGCCCATATCTCGATTTGCATATGCAATTAAAGAAGTGATCATATTACCTGTATCTTCAAAAAGAATTATTTGAAGAGATCATGTTGAGAAGTGAAAGTTGTTCAGTTAAATCATCTCGATGCGCTTCTTGCACCTGTCCCGCTAATGGAGTTCGGACCGCACTCCAGCTTGGTAAGTTAGGTCAACATTGGGCCCAACATGGCTAGCAGCTACGGCAACAACTCTTGGCCCAATTTTTGCAAGTTTGCGGGACTTCTGTGAGCCTTTCCCTTATTCTACTTTCTTCTCTCCATGAACTAATCTAGATAACCATGGATTTCGAAACATGTTTCTTTCATGTGACGAATTCCATTGCAGTGGTTGCACCATAGCTTATCATTTTCGACTTCATCCAAATCCCGCAGAGAATGCAGAGGTCTCGTTGAGGGAGACTTACTGACCATGGTCATAGAAGAACTACTGTTAACATTTTTACCGCCGAGCATAGTAGCTTGTCCTTGTGCTTCACTCTAAATGGTGTTGAAGCACTATTCTATCACCAGGACCGGCTTCATAGGGGGAAGGTTGCTCTGAATTGGACCGAACACATCATCAAGTTCCGCGAGAAAATCATACACCCAATCTTTTTTAAGATCATCTTTCGGGGTCTTTAAATCAGCAACATACACCATCTTATATGGACGCCGTTTATCCATCTCCTACCACATGTTTTTCAACTCCACTAAATAATGATTTACTGGACGCCTATTTTGCTTTGTCCTCGTTGCCGTGCATCAAAACTTGTAATATTGAGACTGATCAACCTTGTCATAAAACATTTGGGTGACACCATCCCAAATGTTCTTGGTTGTCCGCAATTCGATGAACATCCCAAGTAGATATAAATCTATGGTTTTCAGCAACCAAGCTCCTACAATTGTGGCCTTGGTAAGCCACTTCAAGTAACCATGTTCCGTCTCATCAACCATCGCGATCTGTCCATTAATCAAGTCTCCAAGCTTGTTTAAGCCCGCAACATGAATCTCCATCATCCTCGACCATACCTTGCAGTTCGTATCATTCACCTTAAACCCAAACAAGCCATGGATGTTGGAAAACTCGTGCAACAACCTGTCCCGGATTTTACGGAACATGGTGATTTTGTCTTTCTAAAGTTGTCGCCCTAGAAATGTGTGGTTCGTTTTGGTAACTGAAGTTGAGTCCTCGATATGGTAGCCCCTACAAAATCACAGAGAGAATTGGCACGGTTGCTTATAGATTGGAGTTACCACCAGAGTTGTCACACATACATGATGTATTTCATGTTTCCATTCTTCAAAAGTATGTACCGGATCCATCTCACGTTTTGCAGCCGCAACTGTTGGAAGTGAGTCAAGAGTACATGGGTTATGGAACCAGTGGCGATTATCGACTGATAGGATAAAACGTTGAGAAACAAGGTCATTTCATTGGCGAATGTGTTGTGGAGGAACCATGCAGTTGAAGAGGCGACGTGGGAAGCAGAAGAACTGATGAGGAGTCAGTATCCGTACTTGTTTACTTGAGGTAGTAAATTTTAAGGACAAAATTCTCTTAAGGGGGGTAGATTGTGATACCCTATCCTAAATTTGTAGTATTTTATTGTTATCGAACATATGAAATTACAAAATTGCCCTTAAGGCATGAACGTTGACTTTGGTTGATCGTCTTATCGAAACGCATATGATTACCTTTCTTAGTTTATTCCTATCGTACTTATCACCACGAACGCATAGGTGCGAACGGATTTGAAATTTGAGTTATACGTTTCGAAATGAAAATCTCTCAGCTCTCTCTCTCATCTCTCACCCTCATTTTTCTCTCTTTCCGTTTAGCTCTCCCGACTCCCTCTTCTCTGTTCTCTCTCCCTCCCTCTCCAAGCTTCACTTACACAACAACAACGTCTACCACTTGGACGTCGCGATCTCGAAACCTCCGACCCAAGGTCGTGGTACTCCAACAGTGACAGAGCCACTATTCATTCCCTTCCTCGACGAACTCCAACATATTTTGTGACTTTTCCCACGTAAGTAAGTTCCTTGAAACCTTTGGGTTGTGTTTTAAGGTTAGATCAAGGCATGTTTTAAGTTGTATATGTTTGTTGGACGTAGAAATAGCTCAGAGGATGCTTTCCTTAGTTTTTTGCGAGAACCCTAGTCTTCCAGGCCATTTTCTGGCCAACTCCAACCACGACATGTCTCCAAATTGGTACAAATCTCTTCCTTTCCTCCTAAGCTTCATGTCAATAGCTAGAACATTGAAAATGGTGAAGAAATGAGCTCAAAGGAGCTCTAAAACTCCTGCCTAGATTCTACCAGACCCATGGCCTGAAATCAAGTCGACTTGACCCACAACCCTAAAACCGGATCCAACCCAGAACCGGGCCCAACCCAATAATCCAGTCCAACCTAGCAACTTAAAACCTAGATTCGACTCGTACCAATTCCTAGATTCCATTGTCCATGCGTGCAAGCCTACCATGGTCGGCGCGTGGAGCACACGACTCTGCCAGAGGTACTATGCTCCACCACCGTGCCGGCGACTTTTTTTGGCGACCAATCACAACGCGTGGGGGAACCCGAGGTCCCCTCTTAGGTTTTCCAACGTTCTAAATCCATTTTGACCTTCGTTTTTCCAAATTTAATCGTTTTAGTAGAGTTTTATTAATTGGTCCCTTTATGTGCTTATGTGCGATTGTTAGCAGCATTTTCATCCTCTTTAGTTCGAACAGCTTTTTGACGACAGAGTATCTGTAAGTGGACCCCTTCCAAAATGCATGATTTTATTACTAGAAATGCATACATAAAAAACATAATTTTATGATTACGTTTTATGAAACGTTTATGAGTAAATCGGATTTACATTTTATGAAACATCATGTTTTATTGATTTTACGTATGAACATTGATTTATGATATGATGTTTCAGATATTTAGCTCCGATGAGATATATTTTAGAAAGATTATGTTCATGATTTTATGTACTTAGTGGTTATTCATACTATGTGCCTACGGGCGAATGATATTTATATATGGCTTCGGTCGGGCGATGTAGTGGCTTCGGTCAGGCGATATAGGGCCTTTGGGCGATTATGATACCACTATTAAGCACACTTTATATAATATATGTTCTATGAAAGGTTTTATAGCATGCTAGGGTTTTCGAAAAATCTATTCCTTATTATGCTATATGAGTTTTCTAAACTGAGGGTTAGTATGTTGAAAAATAACTGTTTTAGTATTACATATATATAAATTTGGTCCACTCATGTTTTGTTTTGCTCCTTCTCAGGACCTAAGGACAAGGCATATGACCCAAGCTACGAGGCATTCCCATATTAGTGAATTTGTGTCCTCCTCTCTACGTAGGACATCTCTTGTAATAGCACTTTCTATTATTCCTTCCGTTTGTACTCCTAATTAGTTGTATGCTCTGAACATGTCATGCATTATCACTCTTTAATTGTTGGCAGTTAAATATTATATTTTATTAAGGTTTGTAATTCATAACTATATTGCAATGTTAAGAGCAAAATTTATTATGTATGTTTTATATGTTCTTAGCATATGCATTTATAAAATGGCTTACGTCACCCTTGGGTGTCGGCCAACACATGGCCATCGCATTGTCCTTCAGACACCTAAATCAAAGCATGTCAACTCGTTTGACGCAAAGGTCTGACCCAAGATCGAGATAACAGCCTTGTCCTCAGCCATTGCAGCAATAGATAAAGGGTTTTGAAAATTAAGGTTGCGAGAAATGTGATTGTGCCAACATATATAAATACTCAAAATTTAAGAATTATACCTAGCCGAGAAACCTTGAGTCGAACGACCATCTTGTTCTTACACCGTCTCAAGTGAAGAACCGCATACACAGTCGGATTGGGGCTTTCATGTACAAGTTTGGGGCATGGGTTGTGAGTTGGCTACTTAGAATTGCTTCTAAAGAGTTTCCTTCTGAGTCTATGCCTCCACCTTGGTGTACCGAGTATTCAAGAAGGTTCAGTCAGTGAGGTGGAAATTTCCTAGAGGAATTTTGGCTATGGCTCTGGAATCGGATGTTGCAGATTGCTCTAACCCTCTCCTTAAGACCTCTATTTATAGTGGTCTAGTTACGATTAGGTTGGAGGCTTTGGACTCTAAGCCAAAGCCACTATACTCAGCATATTCCCTATCATTTGATGGATAAATAATTAAAGATTTTATTACCACTTAGTACTACGATCTAATGATATTCTTCTTCACTTGTAAGTGAGAAGTCTTAGATTCAATTCTTGCCAAAAGCAAATTTAAACCATATTATTGCTAGCCCAATGTGAGGTTAGGCCCACCCCCTCTCGTTAGTGTAGATAATATAATTTGTTTAAAAAAAAAATGATTTTACCAAATCATAATCCACCTCCTATTTGGGTGGATTATTGGTGGTTTATATTGTTTTACTAAGTCAAATAAAACTAACAAAGATCTAGGGTTTGGTGTTTGGTATGAGTCTCTTGTCTCAAGACTAACTAGGATTTGGTGTCAACAAGAGTTTCAAGTCGTCGGTTATAGATGATTTTACCAAATCATAATCCACCCCCTATTTGGGTGGATTATAGGTGGTTTATATTGTTTTACTAAGTCAATTAAAACTAACAAAGATCTAGGGTTTGGTGTTTGGTATGAGTCTCTTGTCTCAAGACTAACTAGGATTTGGTGTCAACAAGAGTTTCAAGTCGTCGGCTATAGTTTAGAAAAAGAGAGTGGCCGAAACTGCTTTGATGTCAAGATAATTTTTAGAGTTTAACTAGAAAACAGTACCCGCGCGTTGCTGTGAGATTACAAATTGTATGAAAAATTATGCTTCAAATATATAAAAGATTGTGTCATAGAAGATTAATATCATTTAAAAAAAAATTAGACTATTTACATGCAAAAAATATAAGGAAATATTGTTTCAATCTAGCTACTACAATGAATTGAAAATTTAAGCAATCATACCGAATGTCATGAGAATAAGGTCTTTTGGTAGAATAGCACTGGTTTTATGTTTGTTCCTCTTCACCATTGAAATTTCTTCTACAATAACTACAAATTTACAAAAGATACAAAACAATCATTGTTATTTTGACATATATGTAAGTAAGAGCAGGCAACATTTGAAAACAGAATCACCTAAATTTAAACTGAGTTAAATGTAAAGAGAATATAAATTTTTTCCTTACCAAACCAGGGAGCTGAAACACATGACTTAGAATACAATGACTGTCATATGCCTTGATCATTGAATGAATACTAATCGCCTTTTGTAATGTACTTGCCACTGCCTCTTTGATCATCTCTTATGAAATAGCCCTCTGTAAAGATCCAAAACATGAGTACAATAGTTTAAACAATTTAGATACAAATTTGAGCAGTTAACTTGAGTTTCAGGTTCAGCTAATGGAAAATTGTGGTGCAAACAAACTAAAAGCGGATCTTGGCCATGCTAACGAGATATTAATATTATGCATACAACACTTTTGCACGTGTAAAAAAGCTTAGCAGAATGAATTCTTATTAATAATTTAGTGTGAAATATGAACAATGATTGACACATTACTCACAGAAAGTGAATTGAAATGTGTATCACTTGTAGCAGCAACGAAGGCCAGGGTCATGAGATAATGAACAACCTTTCCACACTGCAAGTGAATAAGAAAGATTATGAAACGCTGGAAATTGATAAAAGTATTAGAAAAGAGAACAGCAAAATGAAATATACTGAAAAGGTAAAAGATGCAGAACCTACCACCAAATGCTGGTGAATCTCATTCCCACCAAAATAAGCGTATAATCGGATAATGTGTTTAGAACATGCAACTCCCGTTTGAAAGAACAATTGCAAAGTTTTCTAGAAAAAGCTACCGTGGATCGTATTCAAGCTTACCAAATAGAGTACCATCGGGGCTCCATAATATACGCTTTACTGAGACACATGGATCCTTGATTAGAGTTGCCTGAGTATCATTAGAATCAAATAGGTTAAGATGATTCCAGTGACATTAAATGTAAATGTCGTCTGTATAATGACTCAGTTGATAAGGGAACATACCTTCAGCATCATTGATCTCGCTCCGATATCCCATACCTGAAAACTTCTCGACAGCAATTTCTCCCTAGAACTAACTTCCCACAAACTTATGTCCCCCGCTTAGTTCCCACTGGTACAAAAAAACCCTAATCAACTTGCTTCTTAAACAAGTACATATAATCTAAGACGTAGTATTTCTTCTCTTTTGATTGAAAAAGTAATCGTCTTGTATTCCAACAACATCATCATTAAAGGAAACCTCAGAGAAACCAACCCAGAAGTAGTGTATGCTGAACAGGATGGAAGTCCAGGCTTGTGCTTGCGGCTCAAAGTTTTCAGACGCTCAACCACTGATTCGACCACTTCACTGGTCTCTTTTTGCAACTCTAATGTTCCAAACATTCCAATCACCCCACTCATCTCTTCGAAAAAATTACAAACACATTTTATCTAAACACCAACCAAGGAGTTATCAAACCAGGAAAAAACAAAAAGAGAAAAAACTTACCCAAAAAATAACAGGACCGCCGTAACTGTCGGTAAATCTGTGACTGACCAAGCGAGGAACCAAACCGCAAAATATCCTCTTAGCCAAGAAAACCCTAGCACAGGATCAGAGGCAACCCAAAACCAAATGGTTACAATTCCATCCAAAATTAACCAAAACATAGCAACTAGAAAACATACTTCAGTTCGGAAAATTAACTTCCCAGCGATGCAAAAACAACCGGTGCTCAAACGGACAACAAAATCAGAAATAGATCTGACCAAAATCGGTGCAAATTAGACATAAACAAACGCAAAAAGCGCGAAATATTCTGGACTTAACGGATTGAAAAACAGCAACCCATATCGGAAAATACCCAGTTATCACAGATATATCATATGGAACTCAAAAACTATAAGAATGAATGACTAAACCCCTCCACTACAGCCGGCAAAGTTTTGGACAGTGTAGGAATTGAAGCAAAACCCAAATCCAAGGAAAAGTAAATGGCTTTTCTAATTCAATTTTTTTTTTTTTTTTTTTTTGGAGTTTGGCAGTTGTGATTTGTAGTTTTTAAGAGAAAGAACTGGAAAAATTTATACTCGGTTGGTTTTTTCAGCAGGAAAGTGAGAGAGAGGAGTCGCGATCGGAGAGCTAGAGAAGGCAAGCTTTAGCAACAGAAGGGTTTGTGAGAGAGATCGAAATGGATGGAAGGAAGAATCCAGAATTTCTAAAAGCAGACCAACGCGTCAACATCCTGTAGAAGCACACGGACGCGTGGACAGCAGGGTCAAGTTCATCATTTCACTGTACAAACAGAGGAAAAATATCAGAATACAATGGAATTGGAGGTCCTTTTCGCCCGTTCACTGTTGATGAACAACGTATTTTTGTTGAGTTTTAGCATATGTATATAATATAATTTGTTGTTGTATATTTCTCTTTGTCGGAGGCAATATATACAGGGCTACACATAACTTAAAGAATAAGAGACAATTAAAGAATTATGATAAATTAAGAGTAATATTATTCATACTATTTTTTTGTATCACATTTTCATACGTGGCATTTGATGTGAACAGTTACATTATTTGAATTAATTAAATTTTTAAATTTAGTTTATTATTTAATAAACTAATAATTAAGAAAAACTAGTTAATTAAATGATAATTATGGTCTACGAGAAGTTTTTCTCCTTGCTTGAGTTTTGCAAATTTTTCAAATAATATGGTTGTCCACCTCAAATGTCAACTAAGGTGATATAGAAATGTGGTATAAAAAGATGGTATGAATAGCATTACTCATAAATTAAAGAAGAGTAATGTTATTCATACCATGTTTTTGTACCACATTTTCATACTACCTTAGGTGACACTTGATGTGGACAGCCACATTATTTGAATTAATCAGATTTTTAAAGTTAGTTCATTATTTAATAAACTAATAATTAAGAAAACTAGTTAATTAAATGATAATAGTGGTCATTCCTTTCCATAGGTTTTACAAATTTTTCAAATAATATGACTGTTTACACCTAAAGTATTATAGAAATATAATATAAAAACATGATATGAATAACATTACTCATTAAAAAATCCTAATTACGTACTAAAAACATTTGTTTGACTCACGCCAACCATTTTTGTTGATGGAAATGAGATCTATCTAGAGATGGATGGATGGAGATAACAAGAAAAAGGCCGAAAATCAAGAACAGACCTATGACTACTGAAACGGTCTTGTGGAGACCGATCGATGTGCCTTGAGATAACAGAAATCACTTCTTTAATTAAGTGTATAAACAAAATATGCTTTGAGGCCACGGTATAGACAGATTTTTCATATTTAATTTAGTAATTAGTTGAATGAATTCTAGTAGCTAGCTGCAAACTGTTAGATATGTAACGAAATTCCAAAAACACATAGTTAGACGCGTCTTTGAACAACAAATTATTAGCCTTCATTAAGAATAAAAACGATCAGGAGAAAACACTTTCAAAAAATTTGATCATCTTTTTAGTGGAGGCTGCCTCCTATTTGGGTGCCCTTTTCATCCCTTTTTATTTTGTGCGGTCACGATTAAGCCACGTCAACATTTTATATTGATTTTTTTTATAGAGATAATAAGACAAAAAAACAATAAGAATATAAAATGTTAACGTGGTTTAATCGTGACCGCACAAATAGAAAAAGATAGGAAGGGCACCTAAACAGAAGGGCAGACAATCTGCCTCCCTTTTTAGTACCCTGTGTGATAAACAGGAGAAAACAGAGGCAATCTGAATCAGTCTATAAGAGAGCCAAAAATTGGGATGAAGGTCCAAAGATATCTATCCTAATTATTAGGATCGACAACAAGTTCAACTTTGTAGACTATAGTAGTTTCTCAAATATTTTGGGAAAAATTTGTGTTTGAGGATGCGTGTGTGATTTAGTAATAGCATAATTGTCAAGGATGTCCTGATCAACTATTTGAAACCTTGTTGAAGTAAATTTTGGTACCATGTATTGGTTCCAACCAAAGGAATAAATTAAGAAACTGAGGAAAGAATGTCAACTCGCACTAACTTTGAAAGTTTTGGAAAATGATTTAAGCCTCTAAAATTAGCAGTAAGGGTTATTTTTATAACAACTTGAGCAATTTTATACGAGGAAAAGAAAACTTTCTTGCACAACTTTGAATCTATCCGTTGATTTGTAAATAAAACAATACAAGTGTGAAATTGGTAGCTAAATTCAATCGTAGAGAGTCACGTATGTATTGTTAAATTGTCAATTATATTATTGTCAAATTGTCAACTTTGAAAAATCGTATTCATTTATATTCTTAACTACAGTTGGATGGCTTAGTGATTTTAGATTTGTCTAATTTTTTGTAAAGATAATATGCGCTAAAATATAGACGATTTAGATCGTTGAAAAACTAAAGAATGAGCACCGTAATGTGTTGAGGGATCTCTCAACGAAATGGAACTCTATATATGTCAATGTATGTATAATTTTAGTCAACTATGATTAATGAAGCATGAATCTTAAAGGGCAGAAAAATGAGCTGCTATATACAGTTACACACGACCCGCACACGCTTACCGTCTTTGAGTTGAGTTGCTCTGCTTAATTAGGTCTGGTCCTCACTGACCTAAAAATATGTGTGCTTCTCAGTTGCACTTACACTTTGCTCAAATTTTTATGCCCCTTCCCATTAATTATATCAAAAAAGAAAATATAAGTTGGGGGCGCAAGAGGAAGATCAAATTCAATAGGGTGAATCTATCACTTGAAAAAAATATTATGAACACAGTAATAAGACACATAAAAAAGGTGGGAATGATACTTGTTTCGCAAAGGATAGAACTTAATTAGTACCATCGATCGCTAATTAAGAACCAAACCCTAGATCTTTTCATGTCACCTGAGCCAGAACACAGATGGCCATGGGCATTCATATATATGATCTTATAATCAAACGCATGTCGCATGTGTTCAAAATGATCACTGCAAGTCTGCAACCGCCACAGCAGGAACTCAACATGCGGTTCCAAGTTTTAGTGTACAACGTTATTGTGTTGCAGAGACTTGAGAAGTAGGCAAAATCATGACGACCAACCATATACATGGATATGGGTTTCAAGAGGGTTAAGAGGCAATTAGTTGCTTTTATTTTATTTTATTTTATTTTATTTGTGGCTTAATTGGATTAATATTCTTCGTGGTGATACGGTAGTTGGAAGATAGCCATTGTCCTAAAAAACAACTAGGATTTAAGCTCATGTGGTGAAGTTTGTTAGGATTTATGCCCACAATTAAAAATTCTGTAAATTTTCAGTTAATTATTAGGACATGAGCCAGCCCCATGTGCTAACAACTAACAGAGAGTTCCGTTTGAGCCTAATATGTGTGGCTCACGTGCTAATAATTAACAAAAAGTTGGCGGAATTTTCAATTTTAGGCATAAATCCTAACAAACTTCACCACAGGAGCTTAAATCTAGGTTTTTTTTTTTTACCACATGGGCTATCTTCCAACTACCTTATCACCACGGAGACTAATAATCCAATTATGCCCTCTCTTTTTTTCAAACAAACTGTAATTATAGTAAGGATCCTCGAGTGATCTTTATAGATATAATCATAGTACATGTATCTTGCAATGGAACTAGAAAATCGTAAAAACCAAATGCAAATATGATATTAATATCCAAGATCAGCAACCACATCTGCCATCATGTTTGATTCTCGGAAGATATGTCTGAATGAAACTTGCAAAATTTACCCTTGAGGTGATGATGTCTTCAACATAAAATACTTAATTCTCCAAGGAAGTTGCGCCTTATAACTTAATAATGGAATGGTAAATTTTCCAAATTTTATTCAATAGTCATCATGCATTTAGAATTGGAGATCCCATTTTCTTGACTAGAAGTGATAATAGTTTCATTAATAAATAAACAAATTACAAAAGTTACCACATGGCTATATTTTTTAGTGATCAATTCAATGATCCGGAAAGAATTAGCACAAATAAGTATGCAAAGTAATCTTTAATTGCTACCACAAGCACTACCTGTATTAGCACAAGCCACTGGTTTAGATCCACTACAAATACCACAGACTCAACGAATGCAAACCAAGCACACACAATGTCACCGGCAACAAGTGAGACCACATCAAATCATAGCTGGTAAGCGAGGCCTTATCACTTGCTAAGCAAGACATCACCTGTTAGACGCGGTACAAACAAAACCTACCGTAATCTGAAAATGGAATCCACCCATCTGCTCATCTCCACCGGTTCGTTCATCTTAACTTGTGACTTTATTGCTTCTATGAGATTGGCTGGAACCGCAAGCCAAGCAAAGCGGAGCCGCCATGATCTGGCCAGGTAAAGCAGTGTCGCCACAATTTGATCAAGAAGAATATTTCCAACTTGAAAAATCAAACCATATGAGGGGATTCTTACCCACCGATAACCAAAAAACCCGCCCAAGTTCACAAATCCAGCACCAAATCAAGGGATAGTCCTTGGGTGGGCAAATCACGAAATTGGAGTGAAGGCTCCAACAAGAAAAAATAGCTGCCAAAGTGGTAGGGGAGAATATAAGTGTTGTGCAACACCAATGGGGTGAGAGAAATATTAGATATAACAAGATGGTGACACTTGTTAATTTGACAAGAGGTTGAGTTAGTTGGAAATGGAGTTAGTTAGGAGTAGAGGGTATTGTGGTCATTGTTGTACTATGAATGGTAGGTACATAACCATTGTATACATGCCATTTGGTATTCAGTGAGTGAAATACAAGAATTCCATTTACTTCTCTCTTTAAAACTTTCTCTTTTCCTCCAAGCATTTCTTTTGCATTTCTCTACTATACATACATAAAGGTTAAGATGGTATCATCATTGGGAAAGGTTCATCGCTGATTTCGATTCTAGGAGTTCTTCCGATGTACATGGGTTGCGGTCGGTGTTCGTGTTCGTGCTAGCGATCGTGGGTTCTGTAATTTCTTCAACGAGGATTTATCAGAAATTCTTGGAAGGATGGAAGCTGAAATTGGGCAGAATTTTTTGTTGTTCTAGCGAAGAAATTTTTCAGGTGACTTTGTTCCAGTGTTATTCACTTTCTGTGTAGCTGATTGATTTACAGATTCAAGGTGTTAGTTTATGTGATATGCGAATTTAGGGTTTTTTGCATTTTCCCTTCTATTTCAGTTTATCTACATGATAATTGATTGATTTCTGCTTAAAAGTTGGATTGTGAAGGA